GGCTCTGTTCCAGGAAGCAGGACTGAAAATCGTGGCGACGGAGCAACAAAGAGGAATGCCTAGGGAGTTGTTCCCGGTCAGAATGTATGCGCTCAGACCTGAGTAGACGTATAGATAGTCCTTGTGTTAGCGGGCTAGGGTGTCAGGCGCAGGAATCATGATACCCCAGGCGTCTTTATTAGAATGAACGCTATTGACATGCTTGTACTAATCTCTTATGATGTCAAAACCGCCATGTTCCTATACCTCACCAATCTCCGCAAACTTATGGGCAAACCCAAGCGAAAGCACCGGTACCCCATCCACAGGTTCATGCACCGGCAACTTCCCTACCGTGACCTTCTTTTTCACCACCTTCGGTTTCGCAGCATCCTTTTCTTCCGTCTCCGCTCCCCCAGACGTATCCATGACATCTTCAAACTCCTCTTCCTCTTCTTCTTCTTCTTCGTCCTCGTCGCCTTCCTCTCCTTCTTCCTCGCCGTCATCCGCACCCTGCGCGCCAGGATCCGGGTAACTAGCCGGATACTTCTGCCTGAGATACTTGATATCGAAGACCTCCTGATGCGCATGTTTCCAGAGGTCCACAATCTCATCCGCGGAGAGCACGTTCTTGACGCGTGTAGTAGGTATAGCTTCAGAATCTAGTCGTTCCGACTCAGGCACAGCGTCTTCGTCGTCTTCCTCCTCTGTGGCAGTGGTGGTAGTGTCTGGCTTCCGTGGTGCGATACCCCATTCTTCGGGTACAAAACACCATTCTGACGCTTTTCGAATTCGCTCTTCGACCCAGCCTTCTTCCATGGGCTCGAGCCTCTTTCGTAGTAACGTGCCTGCCATTCCTGCTGCCATACCGCCTCCGGCATTCATCGGGAAAGAGGGGTTGGGAAATGGATGAAGAGCTTCGAATTTTGCTGTGTTGGTTGGTAGAGCTTGGATGCTAGTCATTCTCCGTCGCACGTCGCGCTCAACGAGGACTGCATTGCCGGCGATGTCGACCACGGGGTTGCCGGCGGCATCTTTTGAGGGGATGTGATGTTTTTGGGTGACGAGCTTGGATTGGTGGCGGTAGCCGCCGTTAATGAGGAGATGGATTGAGTTGAGGTAGGACGTTACTGTCCGGGTTGTTTGCTGGATTTGTGGCCTAGCATCTCGTCAGCACGTGTCTCGCTGGGTACGGTGATAGTCCAAGTTCCACACTTCAAGGCCGGCTTGAGAAAGATGCGATAAACGGAGATCTCATCGCGCTTAGTCAACAAATGAGACGCGAAGTTATTCCACCAAAAGACGCGTGTACGAGACAAAGCTACATAACAAACACGCCCGCATCCCAACGTGAACTCACTACCACCCGCTCACTTACCAATCTACAACCTCGCCTCGACTCATCTTATACTGCATCTCAGCCTGCAACCGATCCATACCCTTAATCATCGGCATCAACTGACTGCGCAGCTGGTCCAACAGCCTGATGTCCTCCCGATCGGGCGCACCCTGGAAGTTTTGATTCATTATGACCTGTGGTTCCCAGCTCTTGACCTTAATTTCCAACTCTTTTACACTGAGAATCGACCTAGGTTCGCGCGAATGCAGAGTGCTTGGAAGGGAACGAAAGCTGATGTGAAGATGTGGAGGTGCTTGAGGATGGTTGGAGTGATTGGTTGATGAATGCGGCTTTAGCACGTGGCGCTTGTAGGATTTGGGATTAGTGTGCTTGGCGTGCAAGGAAGCTTGGGCAAAGGACGACCTGTTTGCGTTCCTCCATCAGAGCATGCGCATTGGTACACACGCGGCTTCGCGTCGTCTAGCTGAGTGCGAAATAAACAACATTGTATTACCGGTAATGACAGGCAAGTTTCTGGGAGCAAATCTGAATACATGGCAAAAGAAGCACCTGCCGCCCCGATGATCCCCTCCGTCCCTTCTCCCCTCAGCTTCCAACCACCGCATTCACTCATCAAACCTTCTCTCCAATCACTGCAATGATGCTAGCGAAGCCTCCGTCGGGTGTAGGCTTGATAGAAAGCTTTCCCGAGGCGGAGTCCCAATCGGCCGTGTGTGTAGTGTCACTCTTATCCTTCGATCCATGCGCATTGATGCCAATGGGGATGCCGAAGAGACGAATACTTCCGCCGCCGGATGCAGCGCTTGAGACCTGCTTGTCAAACTCCTTGATCGTGTTGCCGGAGAACTGGACTTCGAAGGCGAGGTTCGAGACGATGACGAACTGTACGACGCGAGCCAGGCCCTTGACTTCCTCTGGGGCGCCGCTCTTGAGCTTGTAGGCATCTTTGCCTCGAATGTCCCTGTATCTGGTAAGTGGCTGTCTGGGTAATATGTTGAAAGGAAACGGAGGCAATGGGATACACGCACCATGAACCTGGGTTAACGTTGATCGCTCGGAACTGGTCGTCCCAAGACATAGTGAGGGTAGTCTTGAGTTGGTCCTCGTGAGTGAACATGGAGCTCTCTTTATTGTCCACGCTGGCGTTGACACCCAGTGAGATCCAGGGAACGTAGTCAACTGACACGCCACCGCCTCCACTGGTATGCGTGAAGCTCTTCTCGTCGACCTTGTTGCCTTTGTTGAAGTCGATGGTTGCTTCACCGCGCGGCTTGTTCTCCTTCTTCGCCATGCCCAACCAATCTGCCACTTGCCCGGCGTAGTCTGAGGCGGAGTACAGTGGGACGTAGTAGTCATGTTTGGGTGGTGCCACGACGCCGTCCTTCTCAAGTTGCCTCACAATGGCGTCGGCATCCTGAGCTCCAAGCGTCGTAACGGGCATGTTAATGCTGAATGGGCTGTCAGGTCCTGAAGGTCTTATTGATACGTTATTCAACTCACCCTGGGGACGGTGTAACACCGTATATAGCGTCTCGAATTCGCTGCTTGTCCTGGATGTACGAGTTTGCCATGTCACCGAAGACTTCTCGAGTAGCAGAGTCGAAAGCAGATACGGAGCTGTTGTACTTCGACTCTAGCGCGTTGAGCTGCTTTTGCTCACGGCTCTTCCAGGTGAACCATGTGTCACCGGGAACCATGAACTCTGGTTTCTCCTTGAGTTTGTCCCACTTTGCTTGTGCCTTCTCTGTTGCGGCATCAAATGCTTCTTTCGCTGACGTCTGGTTGAGCATTGCTGTGGCCAAGTTCAGCTTGTTAGTAGAAGTGGGTGCATCGCCCTAATTCCTCATATGAGTCTTCGTCTCTTTAATGCAGGCGATCTCAGTACTTACAAGGTCAACATGTTCCATGTATGCCAGGAGCGCACGAGAGTATGACTTCGACTTGGTAGGGGCGTAGAACAAGTTGTCGGTGTACAGTTGACTATCGCCGATCTCGTAGATACCCATGTTGGCGTACATCGGATCGATCAGACTCGCCGGTCCAGCGGGTGGTCCACGCTGAGCTCTGGTGCTGAAGAAGTAGGATGTATGCTCGCCAGTCTTGTCTCCAAGTTGAGATTTGATGGCATCGCAGTATGCAAGCCAAAACGACTTGTTGGCCTGGTCTTGAGACATGATTGATAGCAAGATTTAGAGACTTGGAAAAGTGGGTGTATAGTAAGATATAAGGTACAGTGATGATTTGATTTCGAGGATGTTGCTGTTTTCTTGTGATTACAATGGAACTATATATGTAATTGACCTTTGAGAGTTGGCCAAAGTAGACTAGTGCCATTTTGTGCATACATTTTTAGGTGCTGTAACGATGGTCAGTTCTGTCCAGAGTCCTCCGCAGATTACGCAAAGGAGTCAAGAGGCTGGCTGAAGACGCAGCTCCTGTCTGATCCGTTAGCGCCACAATTATGAGAAGTCGCAGAGTCACACCGCGTAGGTACAGCGAGTATAGGACGTCGCATCGAGAGGCGCCGTTTCGACACGCTGAGTTTGATTGCGTCGGTGGTGTATAGCTTCATGCAACCGGCCAGATCGAAAGCCTAAACTTCGAACATGTGACATAGGTATGTCTGAGCTTGATTAGCAATGGTGTGGGAGAGCTGGGCTTGAGCGAAGTCAGAAGGACGCGTTCTCTAGAAAAAGTTGCCACAAGTGCATTCACGTGAATCTGCAAATACTGTCAGAATCGGAATTGGCATGTGGTTCCAGCATTTGCACAGAACTTGTCTGTTGCAAACATCCACGAGTCGGGAAAGAATACATTGCGACTGGCTGCAAGCACCGATGAGACTGTCCAGTGTTCGCGCAATTGACCCCCTCTTTTCTCGTGATGTGGACTTACAGTCCGGTGCTGTGACCTAGGTATGCTTCACAGCTCCGCGATCCATAGTTCCGAGGCCGTGGCGCATTTTGTTTTGATGGAATATAGCTGAGATCAGGTCTGTAGTGCTTTACATCGGTCCGCCCGAATGATACCCGCTATTCATTCCAGTTAGCTATCAACCACTGGAAGATGCAGATTGAGAGATGGCCAGGAACGGTGCGTAATCTAATCAGCTTGGTCTGGCAAGATGGCTGAGCTGGGTAATGCGTGTGTGCTGCACGATGTCACCTTCGCACAGGACGGATACGCATTAGGCGATATCTCGGCGGGTAAGGCTGAGCAAGCCTGCCTTGCGGATCATCGTCCGGACTGCAGGTGCGGATGTGATGAGCGGAGTGCAGGAACTAGCTTCCCCACCAGTGCATTAGTATCCCGAGAACCCCTCCAGCTTGAGGCCTCCTGCAAAATACACCACTGCACGAGAATGACCAACGCAGGCTGTTGATTTCGAATTATTGCCATTTCAGCTGCGCCACATACTGCAGGCGAGCATCATCCTCACCCCTCATCTGGTCCAGAACGGCGGCCGCGCTGCTAATGCTTCTCGTCCCATGCAGCGCTTTGCACGACTATGCATCACAGGCCGTATTCGGGCTCAGCTCGAAATGTGACCTCGAGATGTAGTCATGATTTGCATTGATTTGCATGCTCTACATAGATACTGCGTCAATGTTTTCCTTCCTATCCCTTACTGAACGACCAGCGAATAGCTCAGCTTCAAGGCATGGACACTCAAGCTTTCGAGTTCCAAGATAACTTCTCCTTCTCACTTGTTGACGGCTTACCCCGAAAACCTAGCGTGCAACCGTCGCGCTTTTGGAAGGCACTATCATACACCTTCCTACCCATCCTGGCCGGAGGGACTGGCAGCCTCGAAGATGAGGGGCAGGCAATGTTTGTGGCTGCGCAAGGCCAGCCTGGCATCCCGGAAGGAAGGACGCTACCTCAAGAAGTGACGAACTACCAAATCTTCATCAAATCAGATGTAGTACAAACCATCAATCGCCCGTCATACTCCGCGTCTAATGGGCGATCGTACTTTGAGCTTGTCTACAGGTAACGCTTCACGTTCGCCTTCCACCTGTGCCGAGACTCACATCACGCAGGTACCTCCGTTATGCTACAGCTGTACGTCAGACTCGTCACTAAAAGCCGATACAACACCAGGGACAGCTACTGAAATGACTCAGGGTGCCGAGACCCCGGATATATGTAACTCTCGAGAGGCGTTATTTGACGCAGAAGCGAAGAAGGAAGTGGCGTGGAGAGCCGCCCTGCGCGACTATACGCCCACGGGCGCAACGTCTTTCGTGGATGCATTGAGTCACAACAAAGCGTATCTGGATGCATGGGAGATCGAGCAACAGCGGTATGACGAGTACAAGTCTCTGCAAACACCCGAAATGGAAGACATGCTGAAGCAGCTCGATATCATGAAGTCTGCAAACGACCGACTGTTATACAAAAAGAGGTCTGTACTTGCCCTTCAATTGTTTTCTATAAAACCTGGCTAACTTTTCGTTAGTAATACCATGCCTTGTATTGCTCTGAGCCAAGATCAAGTCGCATTACCAACGCCCCTACAAGTAGATACCAAGGATATCTTTTACCGTCCCCAGCATTCCCTCAGCGACTATGAACGACAGTACACGGCGTGGCTCAGCCAATCCAAAAAGTTACATGGGCCTCACGATGTTCATATGGCGGAGGTGGATACTCTAACGTGGGCAGGGCTTGGTCATCCAGACCTCGACCAAGCAAAGCCACTCGACATAAGCTCCAGTACAATGGGCCTATACAAGATAATCGGCATACAGCTGTGGTTTATAGGTGGTTCCACAGCTCCCGTAGCTCTCGATGTGGAAAGAGGACTGTGGAACCAAAACTTTCGTGACCTGGGTAAGCTGTCGGAGGATGCGCCATCGTACTTGCGAGAACCAATTTGTAAAACGACAAAATTGCTTCTGGCTTGGGGTCTGCGCATGGAAATAACGTTTCCAGCTTTCGTGTCTGAGGCAGATCGCAGAAGTTTCATTGCGTCTTTGAGGTATTCATTCCAACAGGACGAGCAGAACAAGGACATGTACTTCAGTCAGACTGGCGCGGATACGTATCCAATATTGTTGGCTTCGCTCTCTGATATAGTTTAGTATGCGAAGTAGGCAATTTGAACAGTTCTTCTTTGAAACAGTCCTCCACTCTTTCAGATCCTGTGGATCAATCATCAATTCTACCGAAAAACTTCACTATTCAGTCACAATTCAATCCAGCTGAATAGCGCGCCATCGGAGTCGCCACCCATGTCAATGACAAGCAAGACATGTGGTAAACCTACTCGATCGCCTGGATATGTGCCTTGGTCTAGACAAATGTCCATGTCGCACTAGAGCTGCATCATCCGCACTGTCGGCTGTCGTCACCAACATTGGTCTAGCGATACCACTCTTGCAATACTGTGGCTACCTGATGCCCGCACACCCTCAGGTTAGCACAAGTGTTGATGTCTGATCGCCGTAGTTCGATCAACCAGGAATGATGGCTGGCTGATACCTACAGAGGTCCAGCTGAAGGCTTCCAATTTGGAATTATCGTTGATACAGCCTTTTGCTGTTGGTGTGGGGGACGACGAGTCGCTCATACGGCCATGAGGAGCTATGCATCCACCCGCTGGTGTAGACAGCCATTTGGTCAACTAATACTATTTAATCGTCCAAACTCCCCAGCTAGAATCCAACTCATCATTCCCAACATCTGTCTCCTTGAGCACTCACTGCACCCAACCACCCAACCGAACAAAATGATCGTCCTCCACCAAACCAAACTCGAACACTACCACCCGGAACGAATGGACTCAACACAGTGCTGGCTCGAAACCCCCTGCCCGCCAATCGGCATCAACCAAAATCTCTGCGTCCGCATCTACAATCTCAGCGTACCCAGCGGTATCCGAACGATAACGTACAGATGGTTCTCGCGCGGTGCCGGCAAATCTGGATTCGGCTTACCCCTCCAGTGGTCAGCAGATGGCAGGGAAGTCATGGGCAACTGGCAACGTGGAGGGGCGGTGGGAATGTTCAATGGTGAAGGACCCTGGGAAGGTTTTGGCATTCATGTAACTGCGACTACGGCAACTGGCGATCTTACGGGTGATGTGCAGATATTGGGACCCGAACAAGCAGGATGATAGGATAGGGTTGGAAGATGTGTATCGTCCTCTGGTGGAGGCCTTGCATCTAAATTGATACGTTTTTAGGCAGCGTCGACATAGTCACTGTTAGTTACATATGAGATGTAGAGCTTGGATAGTGTTCATTCTTCGTATTGAGCAGCGACCGTGATTTCGTATCTACATAGCGCTTCATATCATATCGACATCCCTGGGTATTATTTCCACCAAACCACCCTTCGCTTTCAATTCCTCCCGAACGTTGTCCAATGCCAGCATGTACCAAAGCAGTCGAAGAAGATATTACATAGATGTGTGCGTGTCGTTGTCGTGATGATGCGTCCAGGCTTGCGCCGTTCTTTGTAGTTGTTGTTGTAATGCTAAGCCGCCATTTTGCTATGCAAGCTGAGTGAAAGAAGAACAGAACGAGGGTATAAGGGAAAGTCAAACGCTTGAACGCAGCAGAACGCCAGTGAAACCCATAAATACAAGAAACTCATTATGAGTAGTAGTGAAGGAAATAGCCACCAGGACTGTGAGAGCGCAGCTCGGAAGAATGGAAGATGTTTAGACGCTGACGGTTCGTCGGACGCCTACCTCGGGCTTCTTCGCGTAGCCGATGAGGAGTTTGAAGCTAGTTCCGCGCTTCTCGCACTCGTTGATGAGGCTTTGATCGCGCCAGATACTGGTCTCTAGAAGATTGCCGGAAGTAGCGGCGCCAGGTTGGCCGGCTTCGGGAAGGACGAGCGACTCGTAACAGCGAGAGTACCACCATCTGCCTACGCGCGCCACCATATCGGTGATGCCAGTATCATTTGACTCGGAGGACGAGGTGGCGTTGAGAAGATCGGAGAAGGATACTTCAGGCTTGGGTCCTTTCGGCGCGGGCATGTTGTTTGTCTTGCTGGAAGAGCTGGCCGTGCTGCCCTTCCTCTTCGTGATGTTCTGCTTGACGTCATCGAGGTTGGGGAGCTTGCCGGCAACCGGAACACCAACAACGCAACGATTGCACTCAACAAAACCCTTGCGCCCGATACCAGCCATGACTTCGTCACTGATGTTGCGAAGCGAAATGCTCTCATCTGCTACTTGCATCCTCATCTTGAGCCCACGGACAGCGCGACGAGCGCGGTTGCCCATGTTGACCAGGTCCATGTCAAGGACTGAGAACTCAAGGTAACCACCAGGTCTAAGGACGCGCTTGGATTCAGAAAGGATGAAGCGGTGTTCCGATGAGGGAAGCGCAGTCGGAAAGCGAAGCACGACGCAGGCAAAGAAGTGCATGGGAAACGGGAAAGCCTTGCCGAGGGACGGGTGGTAGATGTGACGGTGATTGCTGAGTGTTGACAATGGCTCAGAAGCGCCTTCGGTTGATGCAGTGGGCGATGGATCGGGGCCCATATCATAGACAGTCGCTTCAGGGTATGTGAGTGCGCAGTAGTAAGACCAGTCTTTGCCAAGACCATCGATGACAAGTACGCGGTCCTCGCTTGGGTCTTCCAATTCAAAGTGCACGGGGCTGAACAAGACGCGTCCGAACGAGAGCCACTTGCTTGTCATGAGAGCGCCAAATCGAAGGTTTGCCATCGACAAGAGCCCGTCCGCCTGGCTTTCGGCAATGTCCATCATACGCGTGTCGCGGTAATGAGTGGTGCTGGCACTGTCGCGATCTTTGCTGGACTTTGAAGCAATGGTGGCTTTGGACTGTCGAGCACTCTGCGACAACGAGGCTGGGAGACTGGAGCGAGTTGAACGCTTTGTGGCAGTCCCTGCCGATAGCTGAGGACTAGAGGGCAAGCTCAGTCTGCCAGTAACGGGGTCAATGACGCTGATCTTGCGCTCGCCGTAGTCAGAGATGAATTCCGAGAAAGAGATCGACGAAGTAGGTGACTGTGTTGAGTGTAGAACAGCAAGCAGACGAGAGCGACGAAGATGAAGTGAGGGATTGGCAACCTCATCGTTCTCTGATCCTGACATGTTGCGTGGCGCTTTGGGTCTCAAAGGCATTGGCTCGAGAGAAGGGTGACTGCGAAGGCTGTTGTTCTCTTCCTTCGTGCGAGAGGTGACAGGCGAGAGCACCTGGTCGATCAGGTCGTCATACTCGTTCCAGAGTTCATCATCTGACAGAGGCGCACTAGGACTGGGCACGACAGCAGTACCGGCAGCGGGTGCAAAGCTCCAGATACCTGAGCTACTTGAGTAGGATACCTCGGAGTCTTTACGAGGTGGGAACTTGAAAAATTCGCTTCGACGGTTGGCCTCATCTTCCATAGGGCTAATGGTAGCGATAGCCGATCCGTGGGTCAGAGCGGTTAGACCGTGCAGAATAGGATATGGCTCCACCGGACCAGCACTTGCGACAACAGATCCAATGGAATCGAAAGACGTTCGTGGAGGAGCTGCTGGACGAGGTTGGTTCGACACAAAGGGACGAGAAAATGAACGCGAAGACGGACGAGGTGCCTGACGACGGCTAGAGACAACCTGAGGGATACGACCAACTTGCGCCAAGCGACTTGGTCGAGGGGGTGGGCTTGTAGGCGGCGGGCCAGGCGAGGGAAGATTCTGAGGTAGGACAAATTCTTCTTCAGCAGGTGCATCGTGAACCGACTCTTGTTCAGGCTCGGGCATGCGAGAGGGAACTGCTACATCCATTGGCGGCGCAGAGCTTTCATCGCGCATCGGCGAAGGTTCATGGAACGGTGATGAGGGTCGAGAGAGGTCCGTAACAGGAGTCAGGTCACCCAGCGAGTAACGCTCCGAGTTGCGGGAAGCCGATCGAACATTCGTATCGATACTCAGTTTGCTCTGTTGTTGTTCCGGTTGTTGCTGTTGTGCTTCTGGGCGCAGAAAGACCTTGGGCGAAGCCGAGCGGGGTGCTGCCAGGGTAGATGGCAACACTGGCTTAGGCGGCAGCAGCATGGACTGCATTCGCTCTTTCCTTCCCGGCTCGTCATCGGAGAGAGCGCTTTCAGTCCCCTCATCAACCTCCTGCATCAGCTGCTCAATGTCGTCCAATTCAAGCCCGGACTGGTCCATCAACGCGTAATGTGCGACGGAGCGAGAGACTGTTGCTTGGTTTGAAGGGTTGGCGGTAGGGGCAGCTGGTGTTGGGGCGCGTGGGCCAGCATGGGCACGTTGAAAGAAGTTCCACCTTTTTGAAGGCTTCGGTGCCTCCTTCTCGGCTTTGCCTTTCTTTGACGACTTCAACCAAGAGCCCTCTTTGATCTCAGCGGCAGTCTCGCTTATCGAGTTCTTTCGAATCTTCCCAGTGATCCGACTGTTCGATCCTGACGGTGCGCTAGGGCCCTGTGCGGTTTGTAGAGCTCGTGAGGTCCGTTTCGAGGC